GAGCGAGACCCTGTCTCTACTATAAAATAGAAATAATTCATTCTGGCCAACTAATATATATATACAGAAAAAATTAGCCGCGGTATGGTGGTGCATGCCTGTAGTCCAAGTACTTGGGAGGCTGAGGCAGAAGGATTGCTTGAGCCCAGGAGTTTGAGGTTGCTGTGAGCTAGCTAACGCTACGGCATTCACTCTAGCCTGGAACAAAGTGAGATTCTGTCTCAAAAAAAAAAAATCATCTAGTACAAACATGTTTTTCAAAAGATATGGGAATCATTAGTGGACACAGACTGAATGTAAGTCTGTAATTTTGATCATTAAAAATGGTTATGATTGATTTACCAAGTGGATTAGACACATTTTCTAATGAGGCAAATAGCATAGGGTACCCCATTTCAGCAATGAATTTTACTTAATCCTGGTCCCAAAACTATATCCTAACTCTTGTCCCCATTTCTCAAATGGCTATGAAGAAACTTCAAAAAGTTCATTATTTTCTGAAAATCACTCAAAGCACATTTTCTTTTTCTATTTACAAATATTATAGAAAGCTTATATAATCTGTTGCCCTTTTTAACATTTCACAATGAGAGATATGTAGACAAAAATAATTCACAGATGAATCACACTGAAATGAATTATATCTACATACAATGAGAAAGTTTGAGTTACTAAATTGAGACATGAGACTAACAGTTTCCATTAAATATGGAACCCTTATTAGCAATGAGTTTAAGTTGCCTGTTTAAAACATTCACCAACACAGAAATCAGATTTCAGCTTTACTCACATCCATTTTCAGATTTTGGCTGAGAATTCTTACAGGTGGGAGAAGGGACCTGGAAAAGACAAACAGAATGGAGCAAGGTGGCACTGCCCAGAACTCCGAGATGCTCTGTCTTCTCGGGTTGGTATTAACGTCAGGCAGTGAATGAAACCTCTGATCATCTCTTCTTGCTTTTTGCTAAATTTCTCAAATTCTTTTTGTTGACTGGCCTTTTAGTTTTTTTTTTTTTTTTTTAGCATTCCTGGGATTAATTTTTATAATTCCATGTTTTTCTAGAAAAGCATCTGTTTTACCCAGTTTGAAAATTGAGAAAGTTGGGAAGCTCTTATTGGCTGTCTAAGATGGCCTTCAATATTTCCCTCTCTATTGTACACATTTTCTCCCAGTTATTTAATCAAACACCATCAAAATTCTTTCTAGGTGCTGGTGTGAACAAATTTTGCACATGTAATTAAGGTTCCATATGAGTGAATCTTAAAATAGAAAGATGAGCCTCTGTAGTCTTAACCTAGTCAGGGAAACCCTTAGAAAGGACTGACTTCTTCCTGGAGTGAGAGGTTGGAAGCATGAGAGCACCTCCTGGCAAGGGAGATTCTCTGTTGTCGGCTAAAGAAAAAACAAAAACAAAAACAAAAACAAATTGTTTTCTCTCCACAGTCTCACACCACATCTGATATCAAATGTGTGAGTCTTTCCACACCTAGAAATTCTCCAGTTCCTGCAGACATCAAATAGACGTCCTACAATTCAGTTAAGTTCTTAACACTATCTCCCTGGAGTTAGCATCAGAACCCACAGGTTAAGGGCTCAGTCCCACAATATGATTCTCATTTCAGATGGCAGTTGCAAGTCCCCGGTTGTCACCTGCACTTCTGACCAGCTGGCTCTAAAGTGGGGGCTCCCACAACCCCCTGCTCAGGTTTGAGAAGGTGCTGTAATAGCTCACAGAACTCAGGGAAACACTCACTTATGTTTGCTGGTTTATTATAAAGGATAGTAGAAAGGATACAGGGAAGTAGCCAGATGAAGAAGTATGCAGGGCAAAGTGTGGAACTGTTCCCAGCACAGGAGCTTTGTCTCCATCGGGTTGGGGCATGCTGTTCTCCTGGCACGTGGATGTGTTTGCCAATCTGGAAACTCCCTGGAAACTGGTCTTTTAGGGATTTTCATGGAGGCTCCAACACATAGGAATGATTGATTACCAATCTCCAGACCCTTTTCCCTCCCCAAGGATGCGGGGTGGGTGTTGGGGCTGAAAGTTTTAAGCTTCTAATCATGGCTTGGTCTTTCTAGCGACCAGTCCTTGCCCTGAAGCTATCCAGCAGTCCACCAGGAGCCTTCTCATCAGAACAGAAGACATTCCTATCACCCAGGAAATTCCAAGGGATTTAGAAGCTCTGTGTCAGGAACCAGGGGCAGACACCGAGTATGTATTTCTTTTTATGTTGCACTGACTTTGAAGATGGGGGGAAGGGCATGTGGCAAGGAATGTGGATGATCTTTAGGAGCTGAGAGTGGTTCTCAGCTGACAGCCAGCAAGGGAATACAGACCAAGTCCTATAATTGCAAGGAACTAAATCCTGCTATGATCATGTGAGACTGGAAGAGGACCCTGAACTCCAGATAAGAATGCAGCTTAGGAACGTCTTGATTGTAGGCTTGTGAAGCTCAGGACAGTGAGCTAAGTCATGCTGTGCTTGGACTGTTGACCTGTAAAACTATGAGCTAATACATGTATATTGTTATAAGATGCTAAGGTTGTGGTAATATATTATGCAGCAATAGAAAACTAACGGATTGCCCATCGTGTTAGAGTAAGTCCAAACTTCTTACACAGTTTCTGAGGCTTTATACGATTTACCCTTGCCTGCCCCCGTCGTTGATCATGTATCCTCTCCTCCCTACAGTTCCCTTCAACAACAGCAGCTTTCCTTTCAAACATGCCGAATTTTTTCTCTCCAAGAGCCTTGACTAGCCTTTCCCTCTATTTGGAAAACTTTTTCCTGAGATCTTCTTGGTTATGGCTTTTGAAAAGTCTTTTATTATAAAATGTTTCAAATATGCATGAGTAAAGAGACTAGTAGAATGAACCTCTACTTTCACCCAGGTTCAATGAACATATGAGCCATCTTTTTCATCTATATCCCTTCCTCTCCTTTGCCTTACTAGATTTATTTTTATTTATTTATTTATTTATTCTCTTAGAAGTCTGTTTATTTTTTTATTTTTCAGCTCTTTTTAAAATTAATTAATTAATTTATTTCATCATATTATGGAGGTACAAATATTATTTATTTATTTTTTTGAGACAGAGTCTCACTCTGTTGCCTGGTCTAGAGTCAGCCTAGCTCACAGCAACCTCAAACTCCTGGGCTCAAGCGATCCTTCTGCCTCAGCCTCCCGAGAAGCTGGGACTACAGGCATGCGCCACCATGCCTGGCTAATTTTTTCTATATCTTTAGTTGGCCAATTAATTTCTTTCTATTTTTAGTAGAGACGGGGTCTCGCTCTTGCTCAGGGAGTCCCTGGAAGACATCCTATACAGATTTGGAGTCTTACAGTGCTAGAGTCATTTGACTGCAAGATCGAGCTTATAACCAACATAGAGGGGGCAAAGTGAAGAGAACTGTAGAAGTGAAGCAAGAGCCCTGATTGAACCCTGCCTGATCATTGCCTTACCTTTGAAGCTGAACATAAGTTAATAGACTGTCATTAAAAAAAATTAGTTTTTGAATTGTGTTTTCAATTACTTGCTGCTGAAAGCATCGTGGTGCATTCTTATTTCCTTTTCTTCATAGCATGCATTGTTACCTAGCTTTTTTCTTGCTTATTATTTATGAATTATCTATATTTTCTCATAAATTGTACACTGAATAATAGCAGGAATTAGTTCTTTGTACTTACTACTGCACTCCCAGTGCCAAGACCAGTACCAAACACATGGAAATCACTCAGTAGATGTTTGTTGACTGAATAACTCAAGGTGCATTGAACATTTTTACACAAAGTTTTAAAAGATGTTTTTATCACTCTAATGAAGCAATCTTTGTAATTTTAAGGAATATGATCCCAAACTCTATTTAAAACCTTAATATGATGCTTAATACAAATTTAATAAGGGGGTACTAGAAAGAAGGAGCAACTTTATCTACAGCTTATTGCTTTTATTTGATTTCTTTTATGAGTTAAACCTAAATTGCATTAGTGGGTTAAGCCTATATTGGGGTCAGATTTATACTGTGTGCCAATTTAATTTTTAAACAAATGTTTGCTTCAGAATTATTCCATTTTAATGTTTTTTATTTTATCATTTATCTATGGATCATTTTAACATTATTTTATTAATTGTTAAGATACTATTAATAACTACAACAGCAATTATGCTAAGCACTGGAAAAAGAAGAACAATATGCATAATAGCCTTGGAAAATTTTTTTGGTTCATGAGCTATCGATTTAAACTTATTTTTGTAATTCATTATTCAACCATTTTAGAGGTTAAATATTTGGAAAGATTAAGATATTTCATAAGTAATATTCTAGTTTGAGGATGTTGATACTTAGTGTACTGTCTGTTTCCTGAACAAAATACTGAGAAATCGTGTGGGTCAGCTTCATCCAAGGGAGAATGGTTAGTTTTCTGTCACCATAAATTAAATTTATGAGTTCCTTAGGGATGAACATTCACAAGATGACACCCGACTATCTGCCATGACAGAGAGACTTTGCTTTGTAGATAACACAGTTTCACCACATGGATAAAGAAACCATCCCATTTAAAAAGCTAGAGAATGAGAGAGAACCATAAGAGGATGAGATTGGAGATGCTAAGGGCTTGAAACCAGAAATATTGCATCAAATTTGCCCACAATCATTAAGGCCTGGCCAACTCAATGAAAGCTTGTCAACCTCACAAATCTAAATTGATATGAAACGCTAACTTGAATAAATCTTCCTGGTGCCCTGTTCAATTGCCTTATAATCTCTCAATGGAAAATTTCAAATTGAGCTTTACATTTTGGTGTGGGGGAATTTATTATTGAAACATTTCAAAAGACTTTACTGCATCTTTTCTTCTGGATTGTTTAATTTGGTTTAGTCTATTAAAGCATCGGCTTAAGAGAAGGCTTGCTCCTTCAGCTGGCAAGATAGAGTAAGCACTTTAGTTCCTCTTCATGTACCCATAGTGGCCTGAGGAGGTCTTCAAAACCAGGCCTGCTAAGATGCACACAGTAATTTTACTTCTAGCACTAGCTCCCAAGGTATATATCCAATCGGAACAGAACCGAAGAACATTCCCCCATCAAGAGAACTATAGTCCATCTCATGAGGGCTTGGCCAACATTAGCCTAGAGGATGAAAAACCCAATGGGTACTCTTGGTGTGTGAATCCTCTGGGTGTCTAAGTGTGCCATCTTTTGCTATATTCTGGGTGGATTTAGTCTCATTTTCTTCTCTTGTAGGAGCTGAGAGTTGTTTTTCTGAAGGGGATACTAAGAAACTGTGAGAAAGTGGTAGTATTTCACTTTAAATTGTTTGATCTTATTGTGTTGATATCACAAGGCTATATAAAAGGGAAAAAGCAAGAAGAAAAAAATTCCACCGAAATCTAAACATTATAATAAACTCTAAATGTGAAGGCCTCCTCAGTGAAAGACAGACACTTTTTGGTAGAGACAGGGTCTCGCTCTTGCTCAGGCTGGTCTCGAACTCCTGAGCTCAAATGATCCTCTTGCAGGCATGAACCACCATTGCAGGCATGAACCACCATTCCCCTGGCCAAGGCAGACACTTTTAAACCTGACTCTTAGTCCTGGGGCCTCCTATCATTCTTCGCAGAGCCAGCTTCACCTCTTGGTTCCGCAGAGTGTAGATAAGGGGGTTGAGGAAAGGAGTGATGGCTGTTGGGAACAGGGCAGCTGCGCCATCCAGGGGGCTGTTGCTTTCAGGCCTTAGGTAGATGAAGGCACAGGGCGCGTAGTACACGGCGACTACGGTGACATGGGCTCCACAGGTTGAAAAGGCCCGGCGCCGCCCATCTGCTGTACGGATCTTCAGGATGGTCTGAATGATCTGAATGTAGGAGAGGAGGATCAGGGAGAAGCAACTGGCAACCACCACCCCAATGTCCACAAAGGTCACCAGCTCGTTGACCGTTGTGTCAGCACAGGCCAGCTTCAAAACTGCAGGGATGTCACAGAAGAAGTAATCTACCTGGTTGGGCCCACAGTAGGGCAGGCGGAAGGTCAGGATGGCCTGGAGAGCCCCATGGATGGAGCCCGCCAGCCAAGCTCCAGCAGCCAGCAAGGCACTCAGCTTCGCAGTCATGAGCACAGGGTAGCGCAGGGGCCGACATATTGCCAGGTACCTGTCGTAGGCCATCAGCGTGTAGAGGAAGCACTGGGTGCTGCCCAGAAAGTGATAGAAATAGAGCTGAGCAGCACAGCCACCAAAGGGGATGGGTTTGATGCCTGAAGTGAAGGTCATTGCGAGGCGAGGGACAATGATGGAGGAGATGCCCATGTCAATGATGGAGAGAACACCAAGGAAGATGTACATGGGGCGGGCATGGAGCTTCGGGTCTGCCCAGACGGTGATTAGAATAAGCAGGTTCCCCAGCTGAGTCAGGATGTAGATGAGCAAAAAGAACACAAAAAGGAATGTCCTTAGCCTGAGTGGGTAGGGAATTCCTGTGAGGATAAATTCAGTCAGCACTGTGCTGTTGTCTCTTTGCATCTCCCAAAGACTTACCTAGAGAAGAGACAAAACAGAGGTTGGCATAGAGGTGAGAGGAAGGTGAAAAAGATTGTAAAAACTAGGTGCAGTGGCAGAGAAGTTTCTCTCTTACGTGGAAAGATGACAAACAGGGAGAAACTATGTTCTCTGGCAGGTGTTTTGTAAATCAAACTTTACTGGAACACAACCATGCTTGTTTATTTACACAACGTCTGTAGCTGCTTTGGTGTCATGATGTCAGAGATGAGTGGCTGTGTTTGGCCTGAAAAACCTGAACCCTCTGGACCTTTACAGGAAAAGTTTGCTCCTAGCAGTTTGCACCCAGAGCAATTTTTCCAATAACCTTTGGAAAATAATTATTGACTGTTGTATTTGCACAGGCCAGGGGTTCTTGGAAACATGACAAGTGAGGGAAAGGGTATTATGTTCATTAGATGCTCTGTAAGTTCAGAATCTTCCAGAGGCCACTGGCTCATTCTCACATCTGCCAGGACATAAACTTATACAGAATGGGGATATGTAGAAAGAAAATGAGGGAACTCTTTTTACTCCTTTGCTGTACAGAGAATGAAATAGAATTTTGATTAAATGGCTAGTTGTGTGTGACAGTGCTTGATGCTGTAGAGATCTACTTTACAAATTCTTAACAATTCAGAGGAAGAGAATGCAAGTAAAGTGAGGACTAACACCACCACTCACTGTGGCTGGTACTTGGTGCTATGTATCTCAGTTACTTTGTATGTCATCATTTAGCCTTAGCACAGGGTAAAGGAAGAGAGGAGAGGAGGAAGAAAAGAGGGGTGGCTGTAGTGAGAAGTCAGAGATTAAAGAAAAAGCAAGGATATTAGAAAGGATGAGAGGAACAGGATGAGAGGATGGCTACAGTAGAGCAAATGGCTCTCAGTACAGAATTATTTTACGTTCTTAGTCCAACTGCTTGATTGGTGTTTCCTCACCTGAAGAAAAGAGATGAGATAATGCTAGAGGAAAACGTTGGAAATACTCTTCTAGACATTGGCCTTGGCAAAGAATTTATGAAGAAGACCCCAAAGGCAATCACAGCAGCAACAAGAATAAATAAATTGGATCTGATCAAATTAAAAAGCTTCTGCACAGCCAAAGAAACTGTCAAGACAGCAAACAGACAACCCACAGAATGGGAGAAAACTTTTGCAAGCTACACTACATCCGATAAAGGCTGATAAACTAGAATCTATTTAGAACTCAGGAAATCCAGCAAAGAAAAAATCAAACAACCCTATTCGAAAACTGACAAAGGACATGAACCGAAACTCTCAAAGAAGAACAGAAAATGGCCAACAAATATGGATAAAGCCAACTCTCTAAATTCATTCCCAGGGAAATCAATACAAACCACAATGAGATATCACTTAACCCCAGGTGAGAATGGCATTTATCAAAAATTCCCAAACAATAATGGTTGGCATGGATGGCTGGATAGGAACAACTCCTACAGCTGCTGGCTGGACTACAAACTGAGTTCAACCCTGTGGAAGCAATATGCGAGATACCGTTAAGCGTTTACAAGTAGATCTACATTGGATCCAGCATTCCATTGCTGGGCATCTACCAAAAGATCAAAAGTACTTTAGGAAAAGACACCTGCACTTGAATTTTATAGCAATGATTCACAAATCGCAAAGTTGTAGGAACTCAATAGCAAAACACGAAAAAATCCGTTAAAAAGGCAAAAGACTGAACAGATATCTCAAAAGAAGACATATTAAATCAACAGTATTTTATGAAAAATGTTTCAACATCACTAATCATCAGGGATATGCAAATTAATAATCACAGAGACCAGAAACAGTGGCTCATGCCTGTAATCCCCAGATACCCAGGAGCCTGAGGCAGGAGGATTGCTTGAGCCCAGGATGTTGAGGTTGTAGTGAGCTATCATGATGTCACTGCACTCTACCTGGGGTGACAGAAGCGGACTCTGTCTAAAAAAAAGTATGATGGTTTATTCTGTCAAGGATTCAAACTGGTATTGCTACCCTGTTTGAAAACCTAGATGAATGGAGTTAAGTGCAAATTCTAAAATCAAAGTAGACTCAAATTTTGTCACCATGAATCATGATGTCTGCCAACTCTTTCACTGTCTGACATTCTATCACATTGAGAGTTCTTAAAAAGGAGACCAATACCTGGGGCTTCATTTTCACAAGACTTGGACTATGAAGTTATGGCAGGTGTGTTTTGAATTCTGATCTGACATCAAATATAAACAGGTCATCTAGGCCGGGCGCGGGTGGCTCACGCCTGTAACCCTAGCACTCTGGGAGCCGAGGCAGCCGGATTGCTTGAGGTCAGGTGTTCGAAACCAGCCTGAGCAAACACGAGGACCCTGTCTCCTACTATAAATAGAAATAATTCATGGCCAACTAATATATACAAGAAAAATTAGCCGGATGGTGGTGCATGCCTGTAGTCCAAGCTACTTGGGAGGCTGAGGCAGAAGGATTGCTTGAGCCCAGGAGTTTGAGGTTGCTGTGAGCTAGGCTAACGCTACGGCATTCACTCTAGCCTGGGGAACAAAGTGAGATTCTGTCTCAAAAAAAAAAAAAAAAAAATCATCTAGTACAAACATGTTTTCAAAAGATATGGGAATCATTAGTGGACCACAGACTGAATGTAAGTCTGTAATTTTGATCATTAAAAATGGTTAGTGATTGATTTACCAAAGGGATTAGACACATTTTCTAATGAGGCAAATAGCATAGGGTATCCCCATTTCAGCAAATGAATTTTACTTAATCCTGGTCCCAAACTATATCCCTAACTCTTGTCCCCCATTTCTCAAATGGCTATGAAGAAAACTTCAAAAAGTTCATTATTTTCTGAAAATCAACTCAAAGCACATTTTCTTTTTCTATTTACAAAATATTTAGAAAGCTTATATAATCTGTTGCCCTTTTCTAAATTTCACAATGAGATATGTAAGACAAAAAATAATTCACAGATGAATCACACTGAAATGAATATATATCTACATACAATGAGAAAAGTTTGAGTTACTAAATCTGAGACATGAGACTAACAGTTTCCATTAAAATATGGAACCCTTATTAGCAATGAGTTTAAGTTGCCTGTTTAAAACATTCACCAACACAGAAATCAGATTTCAGCTTTACTCACATCCATTTTTCAGATTTTGGCCTGAGAACTTTTCTTACAGGTGGGAGAAGGGACCTGGAAAAGACCAAACAGAATGGAGCAAAGGTGGCACTGCCACAGAACTCCGAGATGCTCTTGTCTTCTCGGGTTGGTATTAACGTCAGGCAGTGAATGAACCTCTGATGAAGAATAGCTTTGGAGAAAGATGTAGCCAATTAAAGGCCTGGGGAGATAGCATTGCCTCAATATAAAAAAGCTAAATGGTAGTTGGATTAGCAGGACAGTAAAGAAAATTTTTGTGAGAGCAGAAAGAGAACAATCTCGAGTAATTAAACAAGGAAAGATATTGAAAGATGAGATGACTGAAAGTAGAGAAACCGCTTACACAGTGTTTATGCCCAACATGTATCTGTATCTGCCACTTACTTTGTGGTCATCTGTATTTGGGACTATCTTCCTCTCCTTTCAGCACCTCTGCACATCACTGATCAAGTCTGGTAGGTCATGTTTAACTCTGGAAAATGGGATTAGGACAGTGCAGGTGCTACTTGGGGTGGGGGAGAGAATTATCATCACCTGGAGGTATTAGCATCCACCGGGAATCCTTCTGCAATCTGAGAGAAAGGACACAAATCTGTTCCTAGACAGATTTTAGCATCTCACAGGGTCAGCAGGAGTGATCGTGAAGAGCTCATGGCAGAAGACCCAATTAATCAGTTCTGGCTGGATCAAAGTAAAGTACCAAACTACTGAAACTTGAATTATTGTTTGCTTGTTTATTTGTAGATATTCTCTTCCAGCTTCCTTATGAACTGGGGAAAGAGTTGTGGCTCTTCCTGAAGGTAACTGCTAAGGTGGTCTCTCCTGTGTTCTATCCCTTCTTATATTTTCCTCAGAGTCAATTATGGTGGATGAGATCTGTAGCTCGGGGAATATTGTAATAGGACCCCTGTGATAAAGCAGGACCAATATCCATAATTTGTTTCCCATGAGACTTCTTTAATTTCTAACTTTTTCCTATTTTGTGACACCATGTGGGACAGAGTCTGTGGAGCTTAACAGGGCTTGTTGATGACTTCAGATCTGTGATTTTCTTTGTCTTCCAAAACAAATTGGTGTGTGTGGGGGGAGCAGAAAAAGCTAATGTGGTTGTTACTAGTCAAGAGATATTTTCTTATTGGTGCATTCGCATTTTATGGAATTCATATTTCTTTGAATTACTAAGGTGCTAAGAAGATTCTCATAGACAAGAAGAAATAAGGAATTTCAGTGTTAGAGGGACACTAGACGTCAACTAATCCAACTATCATCTATAGTTTTTTTGTTGCCCAGGCTAGAGTGAGTGCCACGGCGTCAGCCTAGCTCACAGCAACTTCAAACTCCTGGGCTCAAGCAATCTTCCTGCCTCAGCCTCCCGAGTAGCTGGGACTACAGGCATGCGCCACCATGCCTGGCTAATTTTTTTCTATATATATTAGTTGGCCAATGAATTTCTTTCTATTTATAGTAGAGACGGGGTCTCGCTCTTGCTCAGGCTGGTCATCTATAGTATTTTAAGTCATACTCCCTGAGCAGTGATTTTTCTTAGTATTTCTTGATCCTGTTTCTTTGAATACTTTGAATTTGGTCTGATTTCTTTTCTTCTAGTTTTATCTTTGGTTTGTCTGAATTCGTTTTCCAAACTTTTTCCAAATGTCTAGAGGTAGTCTGTGTCTTGAGAGGACACCTTGAATGTGGTCTAGTTTTGTTATTTCCCCCCAAACTTTTGTGGAGGTCTCCCAAACCACTTTGGTGTTGAAGTGTCTTGAGCAGAGGTTAGCCAAATTTTCTCCCTGAAGGGCCAGATAATAAATATTTTTGGCTTTGAGGACCATATAGTCTTTGTTGTAGCTGCCTGACTCTGCCATTGTATGTGAAAGTGGCCATAAATAATACACATACCACTGAGCATGATTATATTATAATAAACCTTTATTTATAGGCACTGAAATTTGAATTTCATATAATTTTCATGTATCATAAAACATTATTCTTGTTTTGCTTTTTCCCTAATTACATAAAAAATATAAAAACTGTTCTTAGCTTGCAGGTTGTGCAAAAAACAGGGAGCGGGCCTAATTTGGCCCACGGGTGAATAGAGCTGATTATGGGAACCATGAAATGTGTTTGTGACTAATCTGTGAGGAGAAATGGTCAAAAGGTGTATGTGGCTTTTGTGCAGAACCACAGCCCATACTCATCCTTATAATTTGCTTCAGGAATTGCAAGCTAGGTTTGCGATCTGACCTTTTGAGAAACTGGGCTCATAATTCTGATTGTGTTCTATTCCTGGTTGTACACTAGTTTGCAAATAGCCCTCAATTAAGTTGGAAAGCAGGATTGCTTTGGGGCTGATTTAAAGAGGGTAGGTACATATCCTATAGGATAAAATGAACTATGTTGGCAGACAGTCAACCACACTCATTGTACAACACGTGTGCATGTAGACTACTGCAGGTGGGTAGACAGAGCCAGGCAAAAATGTTGGTATTTCCTCTTCACATCTTGCTCATTTCTTGTGTTTTGGTGCTTCTCATATTCCAGGAAGCATCATATCAGTAAGAAATGCAATATTATATTGAGCCATGTACCCAGATATTATGTTTAGACCAAGCAGTAATTTGGGAAACTTAATTTTTTTCTTCTTTTATTCTCTTCTGCATGAATCTGGGAGATCATCTCCAAATGAACACATTCATAAAGATTGTTGTGGTTATTGATTATTTCGATTTGTTTTTAGGTAACAAGGAACAGAGGTACGTTAAGATTAACTTAAATAATAAAGTCCACT